AAAAAATTGGCTGAGTCTTTAAAGCACAGATTCATCAGTCAGTCAGTCAGTCAACCAGGTATTAGCCAGGTGTGAATAGGTCAGCCACACCTGATTTGAGGCACAACTACAAATGGGACAAATGGGGGTCGGGATGGGCAGACATATAAATACATGACCTGTGCTTCGCAGGCTAGGGAAGGGGAGGCATTGATAAATTCTGACTGTTCAAAAGTGACGGTGTAATGGAAAGGGGGGTTTATATTAAAAGGGTACAGTAACTTAGTACAAGTTGAGGCAGGAACTATTATTGGTAACCAGACAACAGTATCGTATCCAGAATTTTTCTGACAAAGGAAGTATTAACCTGGTGCTTACCGTTAAAGCTATTGACAAACTATTAAATCTGTCAACCCTTACAGGCCATGACCCATTTTTCCCTGGTAAATATCACCTATATAGATCTTCATGTAAATTCCTTTGGTGCTAACAACTTTGTCCTTAAAGCACAAAGCCATTAAAATACTAAGACATTTTTTGGTCTGATGAGAGCATTTTATCAGGGTTTAGACCCCCTTGATCTGCCACTGAGAATACAGTCAACTTCTTCCTAATGGATAACTCCATAAGGTGGACACCTTGGTAAAACAGACACCTAGAGTTGGTTTCTGCTTCCTTCACTTTATTTATTAGACTCTCTATAAGCCCCACATCACTCTTAGAATAGATGGACCCTTAGTGCTGGTTCCTCAAGTCAAGGTGTCCATCTTTGAAATAGAGTGATCATGAGTTGAATGTTATATCTACTACATACGCTGTGAAGTCAGCAGCACCAGTGGCTGCCTTTGTGGCATCTTCAGTTAATGTAGCGCTCCATACTGCTCCTTTGTGTCCTTCATAAGTACCAATCCAGTCACCAGTGTGACCATATCTTAACATGGGTTTCCCATCTACAACAAATAAAATACATTATCACATGTAGCAATACCATAAACCCTCTATTAAGTGCCCCCCGCCCCCTCCAAATAAGCTCCCTCTCTAATAAGCCCTCCCTTTTCAGGGAACAAAAGTTGATAACCTCCCCCACTCTCAGACATAGCCAACAAAAGGAAACTCTTTTGCAAAGTTAGACATGATACAAAATTTTTTTAATCTCATTTTTGACTCTTATTTTAAAGCTGATTTTTCAAATTACTTCAAAGTTGTCTGTAAAAGACATCTACACCAAAAGCATTTCTTGATTGCCTAAAAATAACAACTGACAAAATTTGTGCTGAGTCACGTCATTGCAGACACCAACCTAGCCTTCATAGCAGTTGCTTGGAAGTAGTGGGTGCAAGAAAAAAACGGGAAGCACGAGGGAGACACACCAGGGGAGAGGAAGCACCTGTCCAAGAGGCCAATGAAAATCGTTTCTGCTCACTTTCTGAGGGTGTGGAATTTTCCTATTGGTTGAGAGGTTCCCGAGGGGATATGTTGTCCCATTAGGTGAGAAAATGGTCAACCAAAGAAAACACAAGATCATTTGTAAAAAACATGTAGTACATGGACAAGGCAGTGAAGGTCTTACATTACACCACTAACTGGTATAATTGAATTTCAGATCTTGGAGGTCACTCCAATCTGGTTAAATGGGACAATGTGGCTGAAATCTAAAAGAAAAGTTGGAGTGTTCAAATGTTATTCACAAAGGAATGATTTGACATCAAATACACATTGTCAGAAGTGGCAACAGACAAAAGTCTGTTGAATCGTTGAAATGAAGATTAGAGGAATTACTCTTTGCTAAAAAAGAACTCGGCAGCTTGCATTGTCAATGGAACGCATACCATCAAAACCTGGACAGGACTGATGAAATGAAACACTTACCAGAGGCATGAATTTGAAAAACCTTTCACTGCTGATATTATTAGTATTGCTTGAGCGTGACCTGATGTCTGATGTTTATGTCTTGTTACTGCACCCTATAAAAACGTCTCAGTACAGTTTGTGTTCTAAAGTTTAGGTCCACTTAGTAGGACATGTCTGCTCCAGAAATGGCTGCAACTTTGCGCAATAAAAGCAATGATCATTTTCCACGTATACTGTAATCTTCAGTGTCTGTCAGTTGTGACTTTGTAATCTCAGAGAACAATATTTAGCTTTTTTATAATACACAGCATGCATTCTTTGAGAAACACCCATTTTTGACTCGGTTCTTTCGTATTTATTGTCCCTTGGGTTAAAAACGATTTAAAACTGTGTGTTGCCCTTTGATTTATTTCTCCATCGCTCTATAATCAGATAACCTCACTGATCTTTATAACAGATACATTTAGACCAAGGGTACAAATGTACAACGCTTTGCCATGCTTCGTTTGTGCGAGGTCAATCGTTTTCTGTCAAAATTTTTGCCAGATCATGCAGCAGCTGCCAAGTTATTGGACTGGGGAGGGAAATGATTTTCATTGGCCTCTCGGACAGGTACTCCCCCTCCCCTTTATGTGTCTCCCTCTCTCACACCCATTCTTTCTTGAGCCCAAATACTTCGCAGCACTTGCTACACAAGCTAACACCAAACAGGGGTATCTGATTGTGTAGGTCATTAACATTCATGCTCAATCCATGTGCTGCGCACACGATGGATTAAATATTCTTGGTGCACTAATTTCATTCCCTTCCAGTATAGTTTCCGCGTCAACACGAAAAACAGTTTAGATGAATATTCTTCATTCTTTAAGCCAAGGACTTAAAACTTTTTACACTGAATAAACTTGTATCGAAACAACTTTGTATCAAAACAACCTGTAACACCATCATTTTGCTCACAACACAGGATATTCACAGCGGGTCACCGATCCTGTTCTTAACCCCACCCCCAGGGGCGGGACCCCACCGGTCATGGCTTAACTTGAGTGTTGCTATCCACACTGAGTTTCGCGAGGGTTTGCGAGACATGTATTTCTAGTTTACGGCATGTTAGTATAGGTAATAGCATGATTTGAAGTGATATTTGGCATAAATACCACAAGTGATATTTCGAAATTGTTATATGTAATTTCACGAGCCGTTAGGCGAGTGAAATTTGAGACAATTTTGAAATATCCCGAGTGGTATTTATGCCAAATATCACTACAAATCATGTTATTATTTGTTTATACCACTACCCGCAAAAAGGTTGTAATTTTCACATGTAGGTATTTCAAATTAAGCTGAGATACCACTGCTCTAAGCCAATCAAATTTCAGAAATTTCTCATGTAGTGGTATAAACAAAGAAACTACAACGGAACCGAGCGAGTTCACTTCCCCTGATCATGACTTCTCTTGCCTCACAACATTGCGCCATTTTTCTTTCCTCGACACCTAATGTATCTCATTTGCTTATCAGTTAGTCTATTTAAAATGTCTCCTCAAAAAAGGGCCACTAAATTCATATAATGGTGAATTTTTTGGGGACAAAAAGTCACTAGAGCGAAAGCCGGCCGGTGAAAAATACAGAAATATGGCGTCTTACCTTTGCACGCGCTAATAAGAAAGTATCCATAAGGCGTTATATCAGAGAAAGATAAATGTACAACCGGTCTTGTGTGCCCGCTACACGTCAGAGGAATTTGTCTTGCCATGTTTTCGTGATCTTAGATATGTTTTCTCCTCTGTAAAAATGAGATAATTCTGTGAGAATGTGAACCGGAAAAGTGAGGTTCGTCGTTTTTGATAAGAGGAACGCTGGTCCGACTTTCCGCTGTCACCGGTCCTTCCCAGGACTACGCAGACAATTCCTTGGGGTAGGTACCAGACTCTTTTTTTTTCACCTTGCCAAACGCCAATAGAATTTGGGTAAAAGCCAAGACACAAAGTGATCTTGCCGTCTGAAAATGTAAATTGTACTCAATGTACTCTCGTCTCTAAGGCTTTAGCCCCGCAACATGCCATTTTCTCACACTCCTGTTTTAAGACCTGGCCCGGGTTGTTCGAAAGATGGATAGAAGCGCTATCCACCGGAAAAATCCCTATCTTGTGGATAAGTATTTGGGAACGCTGTAGCAATATGGCCGGTAACCGGTCAAGTAGCCTGCGAAAACGTCCGTTTCTCCTCGCTCTTCGCCGCTGGGGACGTTTCGCGCGGAAACGTCGCGGGAAACGTCCCCAGCGGCGAAGAGCGAGGAGAAACGGATGTTTTCGCAGGCTACCGGTCAAGGTGTAAAAAATACTGAATGACCAGCAGCCCCATATGCTCGGTGAATTTCACAAATCGAAAGATTCTAGCTAATCTAAACTATCATATATCGATTAAGACAAGTCAAGCGATCCTGAAATGCCTTATAGAGTCTCAAGTCTAGTGTTTGGTTTGCGCTGGGCTCAGAAGACAAAACCCTTGTGACACTTAGGCCCAGTTCAGACGTCGTGCTTTTGCCGTGCCGAACTAAATTCAGGAATTAAGTTCGACAAAAGCACGGCAGAAGCACGGCGTCTGAATTAAACTTTTGAATTAAGTTCGGCAGCAATTAAGTTCGACAAGCGCTGCCGTGCTATACGGCTCTGGCACGGCAGCGATTCAAACGCCGTGCTTCTGCCGCGCTAAACAAAGTTCATAAATTTTATTAATGTATTTTGGTGAGATTGCGTTCCCAGGGGGCGAGTTGGGAGAAAAATTGTTACGAGGCATTAGTAAATCCTGAATTTGGTTCGACTCTGGCACGGCGTCTGAATCAAAGTTGTTTTCCTGCCGTGCTACAGTCGAACCAAATTACAATTAAGTTCGGCACGGCGGAAGCACGACGCCGTGAACTGGGCCTACTCGACTGCCGGTCAAGGTTTTCAAAACACTAAATGGCCGGCAGTCCTATATTCAGTACATTTCGCTGTACTTTTCTTAATCGACATATGATAGTTTGGTTTAGCTGGATTATTTCGATTTGTGAAATTTATCGAGAATATGGGACTGCCGGTCATTTAGAGCCAGTTTGAAAACCTTGACCGGCAGTCAAGCTGAAAAAAGTTCTAAGTGTCACGAACCATAGTTTTGTCTTCTGAGCCCAGCGTGAACTAAACGCTATTCTTGAGATCTATAAAGCATTTCAGGATCGCTTGACTTTTCTTACTGGACATATAATAGTTTGGTTAAGCTAGATTTTTTCGATTTGTGAAATTTACTGAAAAGATAGGATTGCCGGTCATTTAATATTTTAAACTGGCTGTAGCTATATGGCCGGCAGTCTGGTATTTTCATTAAATTCGACTTATCTAAGAAATAAATAAATTCGACTTATCTACTTATCGACTTATCTAAGAATCTTATCTAAGAATCCCTACCAATCCAAACTATCATATGTCGATTATAAAAAAAGTCAAGCGATCCTGAAATGCTTTACAGATCTCAAGTCTAGCGTTTGATTTACCCTGGGCTCAGAAAACGACCATGTTTAATGACACTTGGAGCTTTTCTCAGCTTCCTCTTTCCTCTTTTCGCTTTCCTCTTTCCTCTTTCCTCTTTCCTTTTTCCTCTTTCCTCTTTCCTCTTTCCTCTTTCCTCTTTCCTCTTTCCTCTTTCCTCTTTCCTCCTTCCTCTTTCCTCTTTCCTCTTTCCTCCTTCCTCTTTCCTCTTTCCTCTTTCCGCTTTCCTCTTCCCAGTTTCTCGACTTATCTAGGAAAGATCAAAGCGACTCTGCTAGCAGGGTAGACTGCCGTTCATTTAGTGTTTTAACAATCTTGACCGGCAGACGACCTGAAAAAAGTTCTAAGTGTCCCAAAATTCCTATTTTGGTGTCACGTACTGTGAAAACTCGGAAGTTCATATTGCTGTATTTTCGAAATGAAACATGCTACGGGAATGGAAACTTGTACAAAGATTTATTTTTTGCTTATCTTCAACCTAGCGTAAATAGAGATTACTTCATGGTTGGTTCGCTTGTACGATTTTTATTCATGAGTTGTGAAGAATCGCAAACTCACTCGTTCGCTGCATGCGCTCACTCGTTCGTTTGCTATTCTTCGCAACAAGTGAATAAAAATCGTACAAGCGAACCAACCATGAAGTTATTTGTTTATTTTATAAACAAATTATAAACGAATTCTATGGCTATCCTGCGTTTCAATTTCATTCTCCATTGTTTTGGGTATTGTAGTGTATGGTAATGAGTTTGAGAAAAAACAACGATGCCAACAATAAAATTGAACCGTGAAAGTAAAGACCTACAATTATCCGTGTAACGCTGGATTAGCATAAGCGCTATTGGCAATTACTTTGATTAAAGATAAAAGAATAGCATCTCATTACATGTATCTATATTTATGGTGCTAAACCGTGTCTTTAACTTTGGGGCCTAAGTGTAGGGGACTTGATCAAACTAAATGACCATAAATCATCGAGCAGTATCTCACTGGTCGTTTTCACTCTAAAGAGGGATTATCCGTCTGAGACGGATACATGTAATCCATCTTCAAAATCCGTCAAAATTGACGGATGAACAGATGGATAAACTTAGGTGGATTGTTCATCGAAAATTAAACATTAAAACCTTTTCATGTTCATAATGGTAATTGAACTGAGTGGAGTGCAATTTGGTCTGAAATCATACGCGTGATTTCAAAATCGAACGAGCGCGCAGTGCGAGTTCGATTTGAAATCACAAGTATGATTTCAGACCAAAATTGCACGACAAGAACAGATGCGATTTAGAGCAAAAAATGGTGCGATTTAGGAATAAATCACACCGCTGAGAGCCAATCAGATTGCACGGATAGCCAGTGATTTCAAAGTGGATGTAATAAAAATTATTATCCGTCTGGCGCGAATTATCCAACGGATAACCCGTCTCAGACGGATAATCCGTCACTAGTGTGAAAACGGCCATTGATCAGGGGCACCCAACGAGAATATAGTTCAAAACCACTTTAACATAGCATTGCTAAACGTATTTTAGTATTTAAACGGTAGGCATATTTTTATCCCCTAAAAATTTTTCATCTGTTCGGATTTCCTAGCTGAAAGTCGAGTGATCCGAAAATTGTAGGGATCAAACTTACCTTTTCGAAAATTTCAGCAGAAAAAAGGGCTCCCGAAAATTCTAGGTGGCCTTTTTAGGGTAAAAATCCGTCAAAAATGGGCAATTATACCATTTTTTAGGTGTTCGAAAATCCTAGGAGAGGCAGGCAAGCAAGAAATTTTACAAAAAAATGTTCCGAAAATTCTAGATCTCAAATCGTCTTCTGAACAAATATTTTCCGAAAATTGACGTTGGGTGCCCCTGATTGATAAACAAAAGGGTTGATTTATAGTTATAGACTACAAAATTTGCATTTGTCATATCATCGGAACTTTCTGTAGCCAGGGGTAAACAAATATCATTGCATTACATTCAGTTTAAAGTTGCTCAGTCACATTGCGGTTTTCACTTCGTTCTTCCCTGACGCAGTTACATCTACGTTTTTGCAAGTATGGGGCTTTCGCGCGAGTGATTTAACTTTGCTACTGTCTGCCAAAGGATTTTCTCTTCATTCTTGTGGGTGCCGAAAAGCAAACCGAGCAACGGGGGCAGTGTAAAATGCAGACTGCGGACTATTGTTTTTAGGGTATTATTGTTGTCATGTACTCATTTCCATGCTGAAATAGTCCGCAGTCTGCGGTTACACTGACCGCCGAGCAACTGAACAGCGAAGCATACGGAGGGCTTTTAGGCAGCCCTCAGGTTTGAAAATCACTGCCTAACTAATTTTAAATAGCGCCATGTAAATCAGAGGCTTTAACATGTAGTTGCATTTCAGTTTTGCAGGCTATGATGGCTCCGGAAGAGGAACAGGTGTCCATGCTAAAGGGCAGATTTTCTCCGAAGCATCGACAAAGCCGTCGCTTGCTACTGCTTGTGATGGTAGTCTTCTTTGTGGTTCTCTTGGTTATTGGCATAGTTATTGGTTACTTTGTTGGAAAAAATGCAAGCAAATGTGAAGACAATCAGAATCCGAAGCCAACCAGTCGATTAGACTTGGAGCGAATACATCAGGATGCTGTCGAGATGGTCTCCACCGAACATCTCAAAGATTTTCTTAAGTAAGTATTTTAAGTAAATATGTTAATGTAGAGACTAAGCCTGCAAAAACAGCTGTCTCTCCTCGTTCTTTGCCGCCAGTGATGGCTGTATTCGCAGGCTGTAAATGTATGGAAAATCACGAGCTTTTGCTATGCCTCAAACCAATTTAGCCTGCTCTCAGGCTACAGAAGCTACTGATTTAAGGTATCAGCCACCCTTAAAATTGCCATTTTTCCATATTTGAGGTTTCAACGTTTTCAAATAGATATGCTTGAGAGCTTTCTTTTAAAAAAAAAAATCAGAAGAAAATATTATTTCTGTCGAAAGATATCGGGGGTAAAAGATTTTTCTCGTTAATTATCTTACTTGATCGTTAACAAGATCTGTCATACCCGTGTCATATATCAATTAACTTGCCTGTGAACTACAACACGTGCGAATTGTCTTCGCGTTGTTTATAGCCTTTAGTATTCTCCGTGGATATTTAGCGTTTGCTTCGGTGAAAATGCCGCCAAAAAAAAAAGAAAAGGTCGTGTCCGTTTTCGTAATCGAAACCGAGAGCGAAAAAGAAATCGAAGAGCGAGTTTGACAAAGAA